GTACAATATTGTAAATTACATATGTATCTGTATACATATGTATATGTACCTATGGATATGTACATATGTATATGTACATATGAATAAGTACATATGTAATATGTACATATGTATATGTCCATATGTATATGTACATATGTATATGTACATATGTAATATGTACATATGTATAAGTTACAAATGTATAAGTACATAATTTATCATATCCATAATAAACATATGTACAATACACATATATTTATTGAATATTATACAAATATAATACATATATATACATAAATTACATATATCCATATATACAAATATATACATATTATACACAAGGATATACTTATATTTACATATACTATAAAGTATATATACACATGTACATACATACATATATACACACATATATATACACACAAAACAAAAATATTCAGCGAATGGCATCGAGTGATATGGCGCCTGGCAACCTGTTCTTGCGGTGCCAGGTGCCACGATAGCGTCTGGCGCCGTGGAAGTGTGTGTGTGTGTGTGTGTGTGTGTGTGTGTGTGTGTGTGTGTGTTGTGTGTGTGTGTATGATGTGTGATATATGTGAAGTGTGTGTGGTGTGGTGTGTGTGTGGTGTTGTGTGGTGTGTGTGGTGTGGTGGTGTGTGTGTGTGTGTGGTGTGTGTGGTGTGTATGTGTGTGTTGTATGTTGTGTGTGTATTGTGGGTGTGTATTGTTGTGGTGTGTGTGTGGTGTGTGTGTGTGTGAGGTGTGGTGTGTTGGTGTGTGTGGTATGTGTGTGTGTATGTGTGTATGTATTTGTATGTGTTGGTTGTTGTGTTTTGGTGTGGTGTGTGTTGTGTGGGTGGTGGGTTTGGGGGTGAGTGGGGTTGGTGTGTTGTATGTGTGTGTGTGTTACGTGGTTAGGTGTAGTTGTGTTGTAATATGTGTGGGGGTTGTATATGTGGTGGTTGTATATGTTGTTGGTGGATAGTGTGGTTGTTTAGGGTGGGGGTGTGGTGTGGTTGTGGTGTGTGTGTGGGGGGGTTGGGGGGGTGGGTGGTGCTTGTTGGGGGTGTGGGGGGAGGTGTGGGGTGGGTGTGTGTGTTATATGGGGGGGGTATATTGTGGGTGCGGATATGGGTGTTGTGTAATAGGGGTGGGGGGGGTGGGTGTGTGGTGGTGTGTGGGGGGTGGGTGTTGTGTGTGTGTGTGTGGTGTGTTGCATTGTGTGTGCGTGGTGTGCTGCGTGCGTGCGTAATTGTGTGTGTCTGCAATCATGTCTGAAGTCAAAATATATTCAAGGAACAGACATTTCGGGATAGTTAACCGAGATTCCGGTTGCGAAGCACATGCCCCTTTCCCCCCCTCCCCCCTCCCCCCGTCCCCCCGCTGCGTTCTTACCATGCGGACCAAAACACAAACGCGTGCCGGTGCTCACGGGCACGACGGCGGCGGACGAGGAGAGCTCGGCGACAGGGCACGGCGGCGGGGGCATGAAAACCATGGGGGTGGGGGGGCACGAAGGGAGCACATAGGGGGGGACACGAGAGGGCACGGCGAAGCTGGAGGGGAGAGGGGCACGGAGGAAGGGGGGGAGGCACGAAGAAAGCGCGACGGCGGGGCACGCGGCCATTATCATCCGCACGAAGTAAATAAAAGGTAAAAATACCGCGGGCATAATTCAGCGACGTCGCCGACAGCGCGAGAGGTTGTCTCGTCTCGGGTGCCTCCCCCCCCTTCACTCGGAAAGCGGGGGGGGGGAGCTCTCTTCTGCTTCGTCTTTCTCCTCCTCCTCTTCTTCGTTTTTCTTCTCCTCCTCTCCTTCTTCGTCTTTCTCCTCCTCCTCTTCTTCTTCGTCTTTCTCCTCCTCCTCCTCTTCTTCGTCTTTCTCCTCCTCCTCTCCTTCGTCTTTCTCCTCCTCCTCTTCTTCTTCGTCTTTCTCCTCCTCCTCCTCTTCTTCGTCTTCCTCCTCCTCCTCTACTTCTTCGTCTTTCTCCTCCTCCTCTCCTTCTTGGTCTTTCTCCTCCACCTCCTCTTCTTTTTCGTCTTTCTCCTCCTCCTCCTCTTCTTCGTCTTTCTCCTCCTCCTCCTCTTCTTCGTCTTCCTCCTCTTTCTTCCTCCTCCTCCTCCTGTACTTCGTCTTTCTCCTCCTCCTCTTCTTCCCTCTCCCCCCTATCGTCACACACTCTTCTTCCCTCACTCACTCACCCTATCTTCTCTCTCCCTTTCTTTTTCTTCTTCCTCCATCTCTACCAACACCCTTTCTTACCTCAACCTACACCCCCCCCCCTTCTCATGATGGATGCCCCCACCCCACTCCCGAAAAAGAAAACGAAAAAAAAAAAAAAAAAAAAAAAAAAAAAACTCGAAGATTCCCATCTCAGCTAAAACGAGGGACACGCAGGCATTTCCCCCCCCACCGGCGATTCCCGATTCCCGATTCCCGATTCCTAACTCTTGGATATCAAATCGTCGTAAAGGGAGCTTCATTCGCCGTCCGTCTGTCCTTAGAACAAAAGAGTCG